GTATCTGAGCTGTCTCTGTAATTTGCTTTTGATCAATAGAATACAACAGACTGATGCTTGGTGATTAGGTAATTAGAAACCTTACAGCTTCCACCTATGTTTCCTAGAACATTCCATTTTGGGATGTTCCCTCTTGGAAGCCAGCCACTGTGTAAAAAATGTGATTACCCTGAACCACTCTGCGTGAGTTGCCCAGACACACAGAGATGCCCTGTGTAGGTGCTCTGGTCAAAACCCCAGCCAAGCTCTCATTTCAACAGCCAGTTTTGGAAACCTTCATTCTCAGCAAACTGACACAAGAACAGAAAACCAAACACGCATAAGTTCTCACGCATAAGTTGGTGGTGAACAATGAGAACACACGGACATAGCGGTGGGGGATATCGCACACTGGGGCCTGGAGGGTGGGGGGCTAGAGAAGGAATAGCAGGGGATTGGGGGATTGGGGAGGGATAGCATTAGGAGAAATACCTAACGTAGATGACGGGGCAATGGATGCAACAAACCACTGCCATGGCACATGTATACCTATGTAACAAACCTGCACAATCTGCATATGTACCCCAGAACTTAAAGTATAATAATAATAGTAATAATAAACCAGTAAGTTTCATCTGCCAGATGTCAAAGTGCATAAGCCATCTTGGGTAGCCCAGTGGAGAATTCCAATGACTACAAACCAGCTGTCACCTGATTGCAACTACATAAAAGACTTCGAAGGGGAACTACCCAGCAGAGCCCTGTTAACCCACAAAATTGTGAGAAAGAATAAAAACTTGCTGTTGTATGACACAAAGTTCATTACACAACAATAGACAATAGATTTAAAACAGGGAAGCAAATGAAAATGACATAAATTGTTTTTATGCCATTAGGCATGTAAAATATATATGTTCCTTTTTATCATGTTAGTTACCATGATGAATTCATTTCTAACCTGAATTTTAGGCAAAACATAACTTAGTAAATATGTTTGTTATGGCTTGGAATTACTTCATTAACGTAATTTTAAAGTAACTTGAATGGTTTCATGGATGAATGTTATATTTCCCTAAGATGATCAAGTTGTTTGTATCTAAATCTTACTGATATTTTGTTCAACCTACAATTTTTCTTGTTATACTAGAGAGTTCATCAGTTTTATGGTCTTTTTCATTTGTTGTCTCATAAAAGACAAGCAAGATTTTGTCTCTGCTCAAGTGCATTCAGAATACCAAAATTTGCTTTTTGTTGTCAATTGCTTTTGAGTTTGGGTGGCGATATCACATTTGTGTGTAGGAGTGGATATATACCAGTGTGGTTATTCTTGTACCAATACGTTTTTTCTACTTTGACAGAAAAGCATTCCTGGAATGAAATTCACCCTATAGTTTTATCTTGAGAATGATATTATAGATTTAGGAGAAATATATAAATTTGCTAATTTCACCTCAGGTTGTTATCTGAGGCAATCAAATTATCTTCAGCTTTATTTCTCTNTTGTACATGTGTTGTATCTTGCAAATAATCTGAAACCAAGAACTTGAAGATATTTTCCCTCATGTGTGCAGAAATAAATTGTTGGTCTAAGTGTAATTATCGTTGGCTTGATTTTTCTATATTAAATCTGATACTCAGAAGAAAACATGTGTATTAAATCAGACACTTAGCTGGGTATGGTGGATCACACCTGTAACCCCAGTGCTTTGGGAGGTCAAGGTAGGAGTATCACTTGAGGCCAGGAGTTCAAGATCAGCCTGGTCAATATAATTAGACCCTGTCTATACAAAAAGTAAAATAAATAAATAAATGAATAAATAATCAGAGACTCAGAAAAATCTGTCTAGTAGCATATATGTATATTGACTCAGAAAAAAAATTCAATATGTATTTTTTTTTTAATGGAGTCTCAGTCTGTCGCCCAGCCTGAAGTGCAGAGGCACAATCTCAGTTCACTGCAACCTCCACCTCCCATGTTCAAACAGTTCTTGGGCCTCAGCCTCCCCAGTAGCTGGGACTACAGGCATGCACCACCATGATGGGCTAATTTTTTGTATTTTTAGTAGAGATGAAGTTCCACCATGTTGGCCTGGCTGGTCTCAAACTGCTGACCTCAAGTGATCTGCTGACTTCAGCCTCCCAAACTGCTAGGATTATAGGGGTGAACTACCACACCCAGCCTCAATATGTATTTTTAAAAAGCAATTTGGGATGTTTATTATAATTACCCTATTTTCTGACCACTGAGATCAAAAGATCTTTCAACTTATAAAATATTAAATGCCAATTCTTATTCTTGCCTAAGATTTATTGAATATCATTTATAATGTGTCTGTGCTTTCAAAGAGAATATGTTAACAAGTCAATTTTTATGTCAGCATATTTTTCTTTCTTTCACTTTAGTGTGTAACATTTATGGATGTAATTCTAGATTTTCCTGGCTGTAAGAAGCCAGCATCTCCAAAGTCTTGCCACAAAAATATTCTACTATTTCAAAGCTCAGTAAGATCTTCCCAAACAACACATATTTCATATATTGGTTCCATTCTTGACATTATTTATTGATTTGTATATACTTCTATAGTTGAGGGATTTTCAAACATTCTGCTAGCACTATGGCAGAATGTTTACGTGGGGGATATTCTCCCATGCATAGTACCAGAGACATGAGTAGCGTCTGAAGAATAAGCTCTGGCTTCAAATATTTGCCAGTGTATTGTATGTAATTTCACACTATTATAGGATTGGCTTTGAACCCACTCCAATCTATTTTGAAAAATAAATCACAGATTGTATTATTTTAATTATTATTGGAAACGCATTACTTGTTTAAAACCTCTTATAGCAATATATGTAACATGACATCATTACTGGACTGTTGGAGAACCATTATTTTATACTATTTCCTCATTTTATGTAAATTGTCCAACTTATTACACAATGTTGTTTATAACATTCTCTTATCTTTTAATGTCCATAGAATCGATTTCCCCTTTCACTCCTAACATTGAAAATTTGTGCTATTTTTCCCTTGCTCAGTCTGGCTAGGGGGGGTTATCAGTTTTGTAATCTTTTCCAAAAAATGGCTTTTGGTTTAATTGATTTTATCTATTATTTGTCATTTCTCTTTCACTGATTTGTACTCTTATCTTTATTCCTTCTTTCTGCTCATGTTCAGTTCAATTTGTTCTTTTTCTAGTGTCTTAAGGTTGAAACTTAGTTATTTTTAGATCTTTCTTTATTCCTAAGCATTTTAATGCTATAAATTTGCCTCTAATCACCACTTTGCCTGTAACCCACAAATTTTGATATGTTGCATTTTCATTATTATTTAGTTTAAATAAATTTCCAATTTTCCTTAGGAGAAAATTGAACCCATGATTATTTAGAATGTGTTGTTTAATTATCAAATATTTAGAGATTCCATATATCTATCTGTTGCTGATTTTTAGTTAAATTCCACTGTGGTAAGAGAACATAATGGGTATGATTGTAATCCTTTTAAATTTATTGAGACTAGCCTCATGGCTTAGTCTCACTCAATATATGGTCAATCCTGGTGAATGCTCTATGCACATTTGAAAAAGGTATTCCACTATTGTTGGGTAGACTATTTTATAAATGTCAATTAGGTCAAATTGGTCTGCAGGGCTATTTCAAGTCATCTCTACTCTTACAGGTTTCCTGCCTACTTGTCCTATTTATTACATAGAAAAAAGTGCTGAAATCCTCAAGTATAATTATGGATTTGCCTATTTTAGGTTTTGCTTCATTCTATTTTAAAGCTCTGTTCTTAGATATATAAACACGTAGAATTGTTACATGCTCTTGACAAATTTTTCATTATGAAATGTGCCTCTTTATTGCTATTAATATTCCTTATTGTAAAACCTACTTTGATATTAATATTGCCACTCCAATTCTTTTTATCAGATTATATTGAGGTATAATTTACATGCAACAAAATTTGCCAATTTTAAGTGAACCAATTGATGAGTTTTCAGAAATGCATGCAGTTGTAGATCACCTTCACCATCATGATATAAAACATTTCCATCTCTGCAAAAAGTTCCCTTCTGCCTTTTTGCAGTCCCCTCCCCCAACGTCACCGTCACTGGAACCTGATATGTTTTCTGTTTCTATGGTTTCAACTTTCCCGGAATGTCACATAAATGCAATCAAAATAATAAGTAGAATTTTGGATTGGGCTTCTTTCCCTTCTTCTAATGCTTTTGAGGTTCGTGAATGGTATTAGTTTGTTTCTTGTTATTGCTAAGTAGTATTCCATTATATAGATATACCACATTTTGTTTATTCATTTACTAATAGAATAACATTTGCCTTTCTTCCAGTTTGGGGCCAGAATTATGTTAAGTTGCTATAAAATTGGAGTACAAGTTTTTGAATAAAATTGTGTTTTTATTTCCCTTGTAAACATGGTAAGACTAGTATCTGAGACACTGTTGCCCTTAAGCTGTCTTTCTTTGGTCATCAAGCTTCCAATTAGTGCTAGTATCAGTCCCGATAGTTATGAAATCATGACTGCATACTGGACACTGAACCAGGTGAAAGAGAGGAATATATAACAAAACCTTGAGATGGACAGGTAAACATATATGGCTTCAAGGCCGAACAGAAGCCACCAGAAGCCAGGGGGAAAAAAATGTCAGGAAAGTTCACAAATATAGTTTTGATCTTCATGCTACTGAATTTGGGGGAAAAAAAAAAAGGTGAACATAACGTTTGAAGAAGTTAACACTTGACGCTATTAACCAAATCCACATCCCTGTTCAGAAATTCCTGTGTACTACTAGTCAAATATACACTTGACGTTCAATTGACGCACTTTCCAACACTATATTCAAATGGCAGAAATTACTTTTTAAGGGTACAAAGAGGTTTCCTTATGCACTCAAATGATTACTGTCGAAGGTAATCTGGGACTTGATTAATGGCTTTGTTAATTATTCTCCCTGAGGCAGACTTCAGTATCCGTTTAAGACTAAAGTGGCTAGAATTACCTGCCCACCCGGAATCCCAGGTAACTGAGACAAGCGGAGGAGCCTGAGCAGCTAAGGACGCACAGGTAACGGTCGCGGCTGGCCGGTAGGATCTGACATGTAAGATCGCCCTGTTCATCTGGGCCTCGGTCGCCTTTGGCAGGCGGGCGTGTCCGCGGCAGTGTGGGGGAGAAGGGGCTGGGCTTCGCCAGGCAGCGCACGACGACGCCCTTGCCTTGGCCTTCACCGAGTAGAACCCGAGAAGCCCACTTGCCCGCCTTGGCCAACGCCCTCGCGGCCCAGGGCGCCCCTTGCAGTCCGCGGACAGGTGTGCCGGGTGCGCGCTCCCAGTGCGTGCGGAGTGCGGAGCCAGCGGCGGAGGGGCGGCCGGGCACAGGCGGAGGGCGGCTGACTGGGTGGGTGTCGGCCTCCCCTCCTCTCCGCCTCCTTCTTCTCCCCTCCCGCTTGCTGAGGATGCTTGCGCGTGGCGCCCCCACGTCTTTAAGCTCGCGGCCCCGGGGGGCGGTGTGTGTGAGTAGCTGGGAGGGGGCCGCGAGGCGCTCCGGGAGGCTCGTCCGGGTTTGTCCGCCGCCGTCACCTGACTCGTCGGAGGAACCACAGCTGAGGTGGGGGCGGGGATGGGGACGCAGCTTGGAGCGCTAGAGAGACGCCGCGGCGCTGGCAGAAGAGGCGGCGGCGGGCGGGTACTGGCTTCTTCGGCCAGGGGCGGCGGGCGCCGGGACCGCGGAGCTGAGGAGCGGGGCCCGGCCAGGGCTGGAGACATTGCGCCCGGGGCACCGGGTCTGCACGCGCTCGCACACACCTACCAGCGCGGCTTCCCTCAGCGGCCCGGGTTTTGCTCATCCTGCGGCGGGCGGCACCGCTCAGGGGCGGGGTAAGTACCGGCGGCCGGACTCGGCCCCCTCCCCGAGCCAGGGCCGCACGGGGATCCACAGAGGATAATCCCAGGGTGCAGAGAAGGGCAGCGGCCGAGTGACAGCTCCGCGTCGCGCTACGGAGCGGGCGGGGGCTGGGCTGTGCTGTCAGCCCGGCTCCGCTCCAAAGCCAAGAAGGGTGAGGCGCCCCAAGACCCCGGCGCCTCCGCAGGGCTCCTGGGCGGCCCCTGCGGCAGGGATTTGGAGACCGGGGAGAAGGGGCCCGGGCGATGGGCCTCTGCGAGGCTTTGGAGGCTGCGGCGAGGAAGGAAGGAGAGGCGAGGGCATAACATGGCGCAACGCTAGGATAATCTCCTTCGCGACTGAGGGAGGACGAGCCCTTTGCTGCAGCAGCCCAAGGAGGAGGAGGGAGGCGGCCAGGGCTTGGGTATCTGATGCATTCCCCGAAGCCTGCGGGCTGCTAGGAGGAAAGTCTGCGGAGGTGGGAGGTGGGCACTGGTGGGTGCAGCGCCCAGGGAATAACCCCGACGCACACGTCGTGGCTAGCCCAGCACCGCGGATCAGGTTGCGAGGAAAGTGCTGATTGACAGGGGGCTACCGAGGGGGTGAATTTGACCTTATGGGGAGACCAGGGGAGAATGGGGACTGTGTCACGATGCTGTGACTGGAGCCCACGCTGGGGTTCCGTGACGGCCCTACTCACGGTCAAGACTCCCTGGACCGCATCGCAGGAGCGGGGCTTGGCGCGTTGCTGGCTCCAAGAGGTGGTGCCAGGGTGGAGATGGAGGCGGAGAGAGCCGCCGTGCGGCTGGAGGAGGCAGGGCCTGGATGCTTGGAGGGTAGGGTCTGCGGATTAAAGCGGGACCATCTCCCCTTTTTTCCAGCAGAGGAGGAGGCGGTAGACGCGACCAGAGAAGATGTCGGGCCAAACGCTCACGGATCGGATCGCAGCCGCCCAGTACAGCGTGACAGGCTCTGCTGTAGCGAGAGCGGTCTGCAAAGCCACTACTCATGAAGTGATGGGCCCCAAGAAAAAGCACCTGGACTGTAAGCATCTCTTTATATAAGAGGGAAATGCGCACGGCAGAGGCGCCCGGGATGCTGGTGGTGCGGCCTGTGCTCTTGGTCGATAATGCTGCAGCCTCTGATACCCCTAGTCAGATAGCCCCCGAGCTGAAATTCTCCAACTGTTGAGGTGTTCCCTTGGGTTAACCCTGAAACCTTGTCTTATGAGCCATTTTTTTCTCTTATTGACCTCCAAAGTCTTGGTGGAGGGAAAAAATACAGACACACACACACATACGTGTATATATATAGAGAGAGATTGTACACTCTGAATTAGATGTTTTTCACCTTTTTTTTCCTCCACCCACCCTCCCCTCTCCAATTTAGGGAAAATTAGAGGTTGCACAGTCAAAAAAAAGAGATGGATTTATAGAAGGTCAAACTTGTCACCGTAGTTCTTTCCTAAATACATTTCAGATAGTTCTAAGATAGTATCATCTTTTTCAGTGTTGCTCCTGAGGTTTTGTTTGTGAGTATGGGTGTGTGTATGTGTGTGTGTGATATGTTACCATACCAAACTGAAATAATTCAAGGTATTGAATGAGGAAATTGGACTTCATATATATGGCAGTTTCATTTTACACATCCTGGCACACTTTGTCTCATTCTCAGAAAATGCTGGGTGAGATGACTATGCTGTGGTCACAAAATGGATGTACTTCCCCAGCATCTGAAATGGTGCAATTTTAGATTAAAACATTTAATTCATAATATCATTTTCATAATTGGTTATTTGATGGAAAAGGCTTTATTCTAATCTGAAATCTATATATTTCTGAAATACTTTAACATAAAATCGTTTGTCATTGAAGGATAAACAGAGACACTTAGAAAAGAAAAAGTCTTTCACCTGCTTTGGGTGGTGAGAATCTTCATAAAGTCAGGCTATATGAGTGTTTATTCAGCATTTGCTATTTAGTTTTTTGACCTGCTTAGGATCTTCTGTTCTATTGTGATGTTTTTGGTAAAGGTCAATGTTGGCATGAGAGACACAGGTATGGCCATAGCCATTTCCTCATCTGGCTTCCTTTGCCGGTCTTCTGGGTTTTTTTGGCCTCAGGCCTTTCCCCCACTATCTCCTTTGTGCAGCTGAGAAAATGGCACCAGTGTCAGAATTCACTCTAGCCCTATTATCTGTATAAGCCAAGCTTGATGAAGCTTACAACTGGACATTGTAAGAGTTGCCCAGCGTTGTGAACCTGTTGTCTTATAGAATTGAATAATTTTGTTTCTAGAAGCTCATCTGAGAGGAAAGTACCATTCTGCCTTTCTCAAGGGAATGTTTAATAAAAATGTATTGATTACAGCATCATATGTTATATATGCAGTACAAGATGAAAGAGGCCACCAGGGCCAGGGCACCTAACAGAGTGGAAATGTTAAATTCATGACCAGCTCATTTTGCTGCAGCATGCTGAATCATTTAGCCATTTTTCCATCAGTTTCCCCAACTCTGGAAGGATGACTCATGTCTTAAAGGTGTATATCAGTCTAGAAAACCCTCATAATAAAAAAGATATGGATTATGAATTTGCTACATGCTGATCTATAATGAAAATGATAAATTAGTATACTGATATATTTCAGAGAACATTCACATGTTTGAACATTTCATTAACGCATCCTTCAGATAAAGACTGAGTTCTCCAGATCTATTTAGTCATATTAGTATTTTAGTGGAAAAGTCTTTTGAAAATTTTGAAGGTGGGAGGTTTTCCAAAATGATTTTTAAGATATGGAAAATGGGGAAGATTCCATGTTATAAATGAAAGCAGCTGAAATAGGAACTGGTGCTGAATTATTAATACAAATGGTCATAAGAGCTGAACATTTATTGAGCAGTTACTATATAGCAGACACTGACCTTTATATTATTAATCTTTCACCACTTAATGGGTTCAGGGAGAGTAATTAACTTTCATGGTTTTGTGTGTGTGTGTGTGTGTGTGTGTGTGTGTGTGTGTGTGTGTAATGGAATCTGTCTCTGTCACCTAGCTGGAGTGCAGTGGTGTGTTGTCAGCCCACTGCAGCCTCCCAGGTTCAAGCGATTCTTCTGCCTCAGCCTCCTGAGTAGCTGGGACTTACAGGCGCAAACCACAACACCTGGCTAATATTTGTGTATTTTTTAGTAGAGATGGGGTTTCTCCATGTTGACCAGGCTGGTCTTGAACCCCTTCCCTCAGGTAATCGGCCCACCCTGACCTCCCAATGTGCTGGGATTACAGGAGTGAGCCACCACTTTACCTGGCCAAAACTTTCATAGCTTTTAACCAGTGTACTTAAATACCTGTAGTTTATTTAGTAATATACTCTCTTGAGAGAGGAGAGAAAAGGAAGCATATTAACCTAAATGGCCTAATCTCCAAAACACCCACATACCCACCTTGCTTGCATAGCTTTCTGTGGAATTGATCATCAAAGTTTGCATACATATTGCAGTATTTATACTATACATGAAAATATTTTAATTCTGTCATGAAAAAATTTTAATTGTCACGTAGAAAAATGACCAAAAACCAAGCACTGAGGAGTATTGGTTAGTGGTTTTTCTTTAATGTTTTACTTTTCCAGTAAGTCATAAAATAGATCATCTTCTGCTTAAAACTGACTTTTGGGTGGAATTTGAAGAGATAGCTATCACATTGCTAATATGTACTATTCTAAGAAAAGATGATATGGAAAACCTGAATATACATGTTATATACATTTTTTTTTTTTTTTTTTTTTTTTGAGACGAAGCCTTGCTCTGTCTCCCAGGCTGAGAGTGCAGTGGCGCAATCTTGGCTCACTGCAACCTCTGCTTCCTAGGTTCAAGCAATTCTTCTGTCTCTGCCTCCTGAGTAGCTGGGACTATAGGCACATGGCACCATGCCTGGCTAATTTTTTGTATTTTTAGCAGAGACTGGGTTTCACCATATTAGCTAGGATGGTCTTGATCTTTTGACCTCATGATCCACTCGCCTCAGCCTCCCAAAGTGCTGGGATTACAAGTGTGAGCCACTGCACCCGGCTGTTATATGCATTATTAAGAAGACATCTTTGCTCAGAATTCTTTGTGAAGTTCCTTTAAAAAAACAATAAACTACCTCAGTAATTTATTCATAGGTTTTCAGTAAACAGTTATAAAAGTGAATTGTTATTTAAACAGGGAAACACATAACTAAGTTTCTCTATAGGTACTGAAGCATTTTCAAGTAGTTGGTGTTTTAGTTTTGAAAATACTAAATACTGGTTGGGAGAAAAAGAGCACAAAATGTAGAGTTTGGGGGTTCAAAACAAAAAGAATTTCAATTCATTATTAGTTTGATTTGTGTATAACTTTTTAGTTTGGAGTTTAGATTGGAAGATTATAAAAATAGATTTATGGTTCTGTGATTTTTAAAGTTATTAAATTCATTGGGCTCAAAATCCTTATGAAATATGTATTTAATATTAGGGTACTGGTTTAAATGATAAATTCTTTTCTCTTTAGGTTGGTAGGCCAAGAAAATTATTGTTGTTAATTATGGTGACTTATAAAATGATTCTTAAAGATATATGATTTATACACTTTTAAAGAAATGATTTGTTAACATCTGGGGGCAGAATTACATATGGTGGAAAGGTTGAGATGAGGAAACTATACATTTATCCCCAGATTTTTTTACTTTTTTCAGTAACAGCACTTAATAATCTAAGTAAGGATTATGTATTTTATGGTACTTTTGGATTATGTAAAACTTTCATTCCATACTCAACTATAATAATGTTGCCCTTTGCACGTGAAAATTAAATACCTAACCAATATTGGTTTGACATTAACTTTTTCTGGGTCCATCTATAC